GTTGCTTCTTAATTACTGCACAACACTTATGTCACTTTCACTAGTAGAAGTCAAAGAAGAGCATATGTAATTACTGGACACTTGATTCAACTGGCAAGTGAGTTATATCCTCTTAATTAGAGGTCTTGATTTCAAACTCTAAAGAAAACGTAATAGCATTGGTGGTAAAGCTTCCCGATTTAGATTAGTCTAGGCTTTGTTAAAGTCTCTTCAACTCAACATGGGCAGACTCAAGATATCGGGTGCACTATAAAAGAAAAGTAAAAAAGAAAACGATGCATAATAAAATATCTTAATAAGTGTACGTACGTATAGACAAATGCAGGAAGCATAGTGGTGGAAAGACAATAGAAAATAGAAAGGGCACGATTCTGCTGTGCCAATATATAATTAATTTTGCTGTCATCAACCTGGTTCAATGGATATTTGGGATTAAATATACCCGCACTATGCTTCCAACTTCAACAATATCTATTCCAGATCATATATGTATCATAGAATATTAGAGATTAAAAGTACTATATTTTATTTTATGCTGTTGGACCTGGTTAGTATTTATTGCCGTGGCGTTTTTATGTTCCAAACTTAAAAATTGACTGCAGCAAGAACACACACACACACACAGATTATGTGATTCTGTTAGGTATCTCTGTGACATGGAAACATGTCTCGTTTAATCTATCTCTTGGAGACCTCAAACTAAACAATGAACTCCGCGATTTACCTCGTACGTGGAGGTCGTTTGGCCACAAATTGCTTATGCAGAATCGCAACATATATCAGTACAGAGCGGAATTAGTGGATTAGTGGTGAAGAATATGTACATATATTTATATATTTATGTTGGCCAATCAGCAACTTGTCATGTGTGACTGAATGTGAAAAACAATAACATGGTTTGAGGTTTGAACTTTGAATTGAAGACGAAGCCATAATAAGCAAAGGCAATCATTTGGTGGAGAAGTAGCGTGTCGGCATCGATTAAGAGCACTGTCGTCCCTAGTGCCTTCTACTTTCAATCCCACAAATTGTATCAAATCATTTTGATCAACTTTAATTATGTTTCCACTTTCATCAACTTCTAAAAGCTTTTTCCGAATCCAAATCTAGAAGCAGTGAATGATTGGCTATAGGGTATTTTTCTTGGCCAAATATAAAAAAGAATGATTGGCTATACTTGCTTTGTTCCAATCACAAAAGACAATAATAAAGCACACAGTAGAAACTGATCATACTCTTTTAGTTTTTCCAATTAGGCTGTTTGGTTGATGGAATGACATGACTTTCCTTTGCATTGGGAAACCACATTGATCTGTGATCCGGGAGAATGAGGATTCTATCTCCAAAGTGAGCGAAAGGCCAAGTATATTTATGCACTGTAATTAATTAAACACAAGCTGATGATGACGTTGGATTTTCTAGATATATAATCTTCCATATATAAATCATGTTTTGCTTACTAAAACCTATATTTAAATATGGTTAACTGTAAATTTGTAAGCTCAATTTATGTGATCCGTGTTTTATTGGGCTGCACTAACAAATTTTAGTTGACATCGTGTTTACAAGCCTTTGTGTGAGTTGACCAGTGATGAGTAGGTCAATTCATTAGGGTTACAAAAGAAAAATAAGTTGTTTTAGATAATTATATATTTTCTCCTAATCTTAGTATAAGGCAAAGTTCAATTTTAAAGCTTTCTTGGTTCTTAATATAAGGCAAAGTTAGGGTATTAAAGATATTGTTTTTAATTTTATCCCTTGTTTATTTATTGTTGTTTGAAGTCCTATACATGCAACAATTCAGTATAATTATTAATGGCAAAGAAAGATAAAATTAAAAAATTACATATTTTTTAACAACTTCAAAGAATACAAATAATGCATGAGAGAACAAGGGACACAAACATTCCTTCACAGATCACAGTTATATTCATCTAATCATGATCAATTCAGATCATCCCTTTGTATTATATATCACAAGTAGCGTCTAAAGGATGACAAAACAGGGCATAAGAACCTAGAGGGACACACACACACTCTCCCCTCCTTCCAAACCACAATATAAGACATTTTGAAGCTTTGCTTGATCTAACATATAGGGTATTGGGTAACTTATAATTACTTTTTCAACTATATCCTTACTTCATTTATTACACTTTTTTTTAAATGAAGCATTAAATTTTAAATTATCATTATCACGGTACTTATATATGATATTTACTAGAGGTATAATTTGAAAGATGCAACTTTTTTTTTAAAGAAATTAAGATTTCAACTAATATTTTTTGAAAACCATGAATTAGTTACGAATGCCCATATTTTGGTCTAGAAAGAGTATATATTAAAATAAGATTATCTGTCAGCCAAAAAAAAAATTACCATTAGTTTTTTTTTGTGTCATTAGTGGTCCCACATAACAAAGCACCTCATTATTTCTCAACTTTGTTTTAAGGACAATTAAATTAAAATCTTATACAAAAAAAATTAATTACTATAAGATTCAGTGATAACTAAACTTAAGAGATAGACAATAAATTGGGTCATCAATCTCCTTGTTTCAATTATCAATAAACCTTGTATTAATTAATTTTTTTGTGTAAGACTTGAATGTAATTCTCCCCTTGTTTTACTCTCTAACCTTATTAATTAGTCTCACACCAAACAATCAGTTCTCCAAACAAAGCATATCATTTAGGTGCATTAATACTGAGAAATTTGGGCTTTAATAATCTTGGTCACAGGTTATAACCCTTTACTTGTCACTTGAAAACATTTGTGAAAAGGACTTGGAAGAGGCTGTGATTGGAAAAGAAATTCACTACTGCAGCTTCATGTCTTGAACACCACAAAATTCACCAGCCACTGGAAACAGGCTTTCATGGCTATCACAGTGATGAATCTTGTGTGATTTAACATTCTGGGACGACAGTGGCCGAGGAAATAACTGGGAGAAAGCAAAAGCACAGTAACATATAAGTAATTAAAAAAAAAATAAGAATGTGGAGAGTGAGTAGATGATCAGTAGGAGTATTGAGTGGGAAGAGCACAGATGGATGCTTCCTCTAGAGAAGACACAAAGTATGAATTGCTTGCTGACGACATTATGGGGCATCCATGGCCTTTTATAGTGCACTTCATTATCTCTCACTGAATTCATCTCCAACCCTACACATTTTCTACTACGATTTCCCCACTACTTATTTTCCCATAGATCTTTACATACAAATCGAGAATAGGAATGAGAATGATAATGATAGTGGAAATGTAGTTTGATGAATTGAAATACTGAGTAAATTTGGCATGTCATGAAAAGGAAATATGTTTTATTATTTGATCAGATGTTGATATATAAAAATATTCTAAAATATTTGTTATTAATTTTTAAGAAATAGAAAAATATCTTTACATAAATAAAAATTACTAGAGTATTGAATTTCCTTCTCTTTAAGTGGTAAAAGAATTTGAAATTATAATAATAAACGATATTTGTCGGATTTAGAGGAATATGTTAGAGGGAAGCAATGACATGTGTTCTCCAAATAATAAACAGACAGACAGATGAATGCGATGTTTCAGTTGAAAGGAACTCAACATATACCCTCCAATTAATATTTTCTAGCTACTCATTTTTCCATTTGATAATATAATATTTCCCAAAATCGTAATTAAGAATTTGTAATCCAATGACCAAAGGGCGCAAACTTAGCAATATAAAATTGGAGAAAATGACTTTCTGAATTTTTTTTTTTGGCAAATACAAAGAGTAGGGTCCCTCTATAATAGAAATTATCTTTCTCAAGATATTAAGGATAAATGATAGATCTCTTTTAACTAAATTTTACATAGCCAGAGAAAATTTACAAGTATTAAATCCGAACTTCCCAGGCCCAGCATCATGCTTAAAAAGAAGAATCCAAATAAAAACGAAGTCAAGTCAAAGGAAATATTTGAAATGAATCTCTCTCTTTTGAGGTTAAATTGAGGATCGATAGTTCCACTGTATTGAATAAGGTTTAAATAGAAGGTGGGATTGGATCAGAGACCTTTTTGTGGCCGTTAAGAGCTGAATCTTCTCCATCACTTTCTTTTTTTCCTTTTCCTTTTTCCTTTTTTCTTTTTTTTTTTTTTTTATAATCAATCTTCTCCGTCACTTTTGTCTCTGTTAATACTGTTGGTGATCTGATAATGTCTCTAAAGTCTCCTCTCAGGCTGCTTCAAAAATTCTCACTACTCCGACACCCAGTTTAGAGGATAGAGACTGCCTCTTTTGGAATTAAAAAAAAAATTTAAAGATTGCGAATTCTCATCAGCTTTCAAACTGCTTCATCAACAACATATTAACTCAAAGGAATAAAGCTTATGCTTGGAAGAAAACTGGGAGAATTGACCTGCCTGCCAAATACACTGTCACTCTTCCTCTTTGCTTTGGAAAATTGTCGTCGAGGGTATCCTGTGACATTTTCAGTTCAGCATCTCAATAACAATTCTTTTTCAGTGTCACCAACAGGAATAGTCCCTGACAAACCTAAACTCAAACCCTGTAAACAGAAGTGTTTACATTTAATGCTTTGAACATGATTAGCTCAAAAAAAAAAAAATTCTCTTCAATGTCATTCCTTGGCTATCGAGAAGAAGAATATCCTAGGTATATATTCGTTGATTGTTTTATTTCCAGAGCTACTTGGAGTGGCCTCTATCAGATCTTCGTATATTGCCTCTTTTGGGATAATTTCATGGCTTGCTAAGACCATCGTTTGGAATTCTCCTGTAAGTTTTTGTTCAATAAATTATTGTCACTCTCCTTCATTTGGCAATCCAGACGCAAGGCTTTGGGTAAAATTTGTGTGTGTATTATTTCTATTTATAAAGAATAAAATGGTAGCTGGTAAAAAAAAGAGAGAGAGAAGAGAATAAAATAGTACAAAAGTAAATAATAATTTATTGAAATTTTAGCGGGCAATATCTTTGGATCCAAATGTTGTGAAAACTACATTTCATTACACAATAAAAAGTGAAGCTAGTTTCCGAACACATTGTTCAAACAAGCGTCAGTACCTATAATACATACAATTTACACGCCCTGAAAGAATCCCAACTATGTAAGCAAATCAAGGTGAATATTAAAAAAAGAATTACTCTCCACGAATCATGTATGACTGGTAAGGCTCCCTCTTTATTTCCAAGATTGTGGACAAGTTCTTATCCAATGGCTGTTTCCAGGGTTCTCCATCCATTTGCATATAAGCATTTTTCCACTCCCCACCTATCAGCTCCAACCGAACAGCAGCTGCCTGCAAGGTAGGCACAAGTGGAATAGAACTTCAGAGCCAAGAGACGCTGATAGAATTAATCTCTGGGGTGACGGAAATTTCACTATGCCAAGCCAAATAATGGTGATTACGTTTGGCACAAATAGTATTGACTACATTTTAGACACAAGTACAAGGTAGGCCATGATCTGAATTCTCTGAATCTAAGAAATAAATGCATTATGTGTATCTAGATAGACAGTGAAAATAGTGTGTGAAAAGAAACAGGATTCCATACATAATTCTCTTCTTTTAAGCTACTCTCTCAAATATAATGCACTGCAGAAGATCTCAATTGGATACACAAGGCAACGAGCTAAATCTAACAGCTCCCACGGCACCAACCTCACTCTTCTAAGATTAAGGTGGGCTAATATTAAAGGTTCATTGCCACCTTGCAAGGTCAAAAGACTTTCTTCATACCAGGGGAAAAAAAAAAGGATTAAACAAAAAATGTGAAGAAAGAAACAGGGTAGATGGCATTCAGATTCACTTATTGATAAATGATAATTTTATATATTTTTATTCTTTTAATTTAGACTTTTATTATTTATTTAAGGCTAATTGAGTTTAATTAGATATTATTTGATTTTATTAGCTAATATTCAGTTTTGGAATTTTAACTAACTAAATCTTTGATTTTAAAATATAAATAATATCTTTAATATTTTTGCACAGGTGCTATTTAATTTTATTTATTTGTGCAGATTTTCTAGATTCAATTTGAAAGATATTGATGAAGAATATTTTGGATAAGAAGAATATGGGCATGCTTGGAGATCAAATCAAGAATCAAATCTTTAAAATTTTATTTGAATTTATTTTGAATTATTTAGTGTAATTTTTTAATTAGGGTCCACTTTTCATATATATATATATATATATATGAATAGATGGGGGACGGAGAGGAAGCACGATCTGGGAAAAAAAAAGGAAAGAAGGGAAACAGAGCAGCGATCGCCATTCGTCTTTCCTTCTTCCAATTTCTTGGGTGATGGTTTCTCAATTTTTCATTTCATGTTGTTTGATTTTTTATTTCTATGGAGAGCTAATTTTTTTTTGGTGTGATCAATCACAAACCATGATCCTAAATTTTAATCAGAGTCTTTAATATTCAGGAAAGATTTTATTTTAGCTTTATTCCAATTTTCTCTTCTTCTCTCTACCTCTAAATTTTATGCTTTAATTACTATTACTGATTAGAGTAGCTTTATTGCATAATTTTGAGTTATAAATTTTATCTGAGGTTTTAATTGCTATAATCGATTGATATAGCATTGTAAGAGTAATTTGGCTTGGCTTGGGTGATTATCCATGCTTTGTTTTTGGTGTGGCTATAAAACAATTGTTAGGTTGTGGGTTAAAGGAGATTTCAATTAATCTATAACTTAACTTCTTGTTTAATTCTTGAATGATAATTTGAGAAATATTATAATGAAACCAGAATAATAAAGTTGAATAAAATTAATTTATTTTGTAGACGAGGAAGGTTAAATTTAGGTGATTGGGTTGTGATTGATTGCGCTGCTTGTTGTCGGTAATTTTCTTAATTGAATTTCCTCTATTTATTTATTTATAATTTAGTTTTTAATTTCATCATAAAAAAACCCCCCCATTATTTACCTTTTCATAATCATAATTTAAATAATTACTCTATTGACTCTTAGGGAGACGACCTAGGTTGCACTTTACTGCAAAATCTAGTTTTTATTAATTTTGGTGCTGTTCGACAGTAGTGTCACTTATTGATGGGTTATCTTCGGAGTTCTCAATGCACCCAACACGGGAGAACAGAATATTGTCCATCCAGATAATTAATGGTTAATAATGATTTTGAAAAAGTGCTCAAAAACCCCTACAATAACGGTGAGAGTTAATTACTCGATCTAATGCCACAATTTTAATCAGTAGTCAACAGACCATCAACGCGAAGGCATCCTCAGCATAAGATTTGAATGCAACAAAGCCAAGAGCAACATGGAAGTTTGATCCCCATGATTCCAAGTCCAGTCATGGAACATTCCACAAATGTGAAATCTACTTTGACTCAATCATTTCCAAGTCCAATACACCAATGTAAAATCTACTTTGACTCAATTTAGAATCCGTTCACCCTCCAATACACCAAGCAGTTAGGGATTCCTAAGTCACATTTTGCATTTGAGAAGTGAAAATTACCCAAAAACACAACCCATAAACAATTTCAAACTAAAATATATCGTACCTGAGCAATGTGCTTCGCAGATATAAGTTCAAACATGACAAATGATGCATGCCATCCTTGCTTTAGACCAAATATTTCCAGAAGTCCATCATCCACATGGGCTTCAACAAATTGTCTCTGGAATTACGAAAAAGCCCTTTCAGTTAACCTCCTTAAAATTGTAAGACATGATTTACAGCATCATCGTGCAAGTTCATATTCAGTAATAATCACCAATCAGAAGTCCATGGCAATCACCATAATAAGTGTGTGTTTGGATAGCCATGTTAATCGATTTTTTGAGGAAAAAAATTGATTTTTGCTTCAATTACCCAAACAGCAACTTTTCCAAAAAATTGATTTTTTGCCAAAGCTGAAAGAATGAGCTTTTGCGTTCAAATTTACAAAGGTATTGGGAAAGATTACAAAGAAAGGCCGAAGAAAAATTATAAGAAAGGTACAAAATTTTATAAAAATAAAACCAAACTCTCTTCTCTTCTCTTTTTTTTTCTTAATAAAATTAATGTTTGGTGCTTAAGAATTAAATATTTCTCTTTTATTAAATTTATTTTAACTAAGATATATGAGTTACTTATTTACGTAAATTTAAATGTTAATATTAATATAATTTAAATTTTTTAATTAATTAGATATGTAATTTAAATAATATATTTTACTTCTTAAATAAAACGTAACAACTTTAATAATATTAGATATAATTTATTAATAATTTAATTTTAAAAGGCAATGTCCTTTATGGTACTTTATACAACTAAAATTGATTCTGAATTAATTATCCAAACATCTTCAATTCTGTTAAAATTAATTTTATAAAAACAGTATCCAAACACATTGTGTTATAACATAATCAATTATGATTAAAATTTACCATTTAATCAATTATTTTCATAATCTATTATACTCAACTGAAATCTAAACGGACACTAATGCTCCCAATCATAACACAACCACCAGGCACTAGAGACTGAGAAGAAACTCAGGCATACATAGTCCATGATGTGATACGACAAAGGGTTTAACTGCTTTATGGAAATGTCTCTTGGAAAAGAAAAAATTGAAGTCACATTTCAGTCACCGAAGGGGCACAAACAGATTTATTGATGTCTCCAAAATAATACAGGGGGTATTCCAAAAAGCAAAAAGATATAATCAGAGAATGAATGCTTTAATGGTTTAAGATTATCAGTATGACAGGAAATATCAGACAACAAAAGAGAATACCTTTTCCAAATACTCAGGCTTTGGTTTACCCCAGGGGTTTCTTCCACTTCCATAGCTATGAAGATTCATAGCAACTATTGACCTTACACTGAAAGGAAATAACATAATCTTATCACATAGAAGGGGACAAACCAAAAAGAATAGCACAAACTTGACTGCTGATACGCTACATTTACTGAACTGTGCATCTATGAACATGGAAATATAAGAACAAGACCAAGACAGAGGAAATTCAGAACCAAGAGAAGAAACACACAATCCCTAGCAACTAGCCTCATGTCAAAAGTAATGATGTTCAATTAAATAGGGTGTTGCTTCGTTACCCAGTTGATATGAAAATAAATAAATAATCACCTTGAAGGAACTGTAACCTTCTCCCAGTCTGAGCAATTGACCTTTTTGACATGGATCCGCAGTATGTTGTTAAGTCCCCTAATAACAGAAAATTAATACTCAAGTAATTAGGAATACAATATAGGAATCAATCGTCATCCTTAATTACTGGAGCGTAGAACTTTGATTTCCACAAGATAAAGGTTTTCCTGAGATTATTGTAAATAATCAAATCCAAATTTATGAACTGCATAGGGTAGCAGGCATCAAGTGAAAATCCACGTAACTAGAAACAAACTTCTGACAGAGAATATAATGGAGAGTCAACAAAGGAAGAAAAAGGGGAAATATCTACAATGGAAGCCAAATCAAAATTCAGATCATGTGCCACATTATGTCAAAGGAGCACAACAACAACAATAGGCCTTACCCTACTAGGTAAAGTCGGCTACACGAATTGCACAACACCATTATGCTCTATCATCAATATTGTTAACTAAAAGTCATGTTCAACAACTTCCGTAAGTGTTCTCTTTGGTCTTTCTTTATCCCTCTTTAAAGGGTTCGAGATTATTCATTTCATTTTCCTCATTAGTGCCTCCTACAGTCTTCTCTATCCATGTCCAAACCATCTTAAATGATTTTCTATCATTTTCCCCTCAATAGAAGTCACACCTTTAAAATTACTGTTATATTCCAGCCTGGCAGTTGTGGTATTTCGTACTGACCATGTCCTTCAGTATTGTTTTTGATATCAAGAAGTTCCAGCCAAAGATCTTGGTACAACCCAGGGAGCTGTGATGAGTAAGATTCTAGAGTTTTTATGGAACACTTTGTCAATAGTAGGGATGTGCACTACGGGATTAAGCAATGTTAAGAAGCTTTCTAAGCTTCTACGAGAGGCTAATTTCTAACTCTAAGCAGCATTGGTATTGACAGTTTAGTAAACCCAGAAGGTATAAGGTTGTGAAAATAGTTACTCCAAGAGTTGTTAATTGTTCAGTCAAATACTCCAGATTATATAAATAGTTCATTATACTGCACGCAAAGCAAAAGGGATATGGGACTTTGTTTGCTTAGCCTAAACTTGATTATAGTTCAGACCCCAAAAAAAAAAATGATTACAGTCGAATATAGAAAAAGTTGTTGAGTCTCCCAATAGTTTTTTTTTTTCTTTTTTAACAAAAAATATTAGCCCCTTCCTTTTCTCCGTAGTTTCATTTTTCCAGTCTCCCTGTTCTATTAATATTATTATCACGTATTAAGCAACATGGCAGAAAAAAGCAGCTAGAAGAATGCCAAAGCAGTCATTTCAAGGAAGGAGGTCAAACAATTATAAGAGCAATTTGTCTGCTAATGGCATTATGAAGAGAAACTTTAGTTTCTTAAGTTTCTGAATAAATGGCTGAATTCTTTAGAGCTGGCTATTTTGCCATTGTTCTTTCTTCTATTCTCTTCAATTGGGTTGTATTTGTAACATACTACAGGTTTTGTATATTATAGCTTCAAAGGGAGAGTAAAGAAGCGTTAAGAATTTTGGAATAGCCTTTACCTTAAACTTGGATCACTAGTGCAAGGAGTGAAAAACCAGCCTTGCGTGCAACCATAACCAGAATATATTATCTGCAACCAAGAAAATAAGATTGGTCCACATCCATGTATTGGAATGACAGAGAGCTATAATATCATTAAGGGCCCATGAATAAATGGAAGCTGTTAGCCTGTTAATGCAACAAGTTATTCTAAACACACAGTTGCTCAAACACAAGAAAGTACCACCTTTTTACAGATTACCTGCTCAAAACAGGTTAACATATAATTTAGTAATTTAGGCATAGGGACCCTACTTCGGGGGAAATAATAATTTATGTTACCCTAGCAAGCATTAGTCAACTGGTCTAGGTACATCATACCTTATTCGCAATAGGACCATTTGCAAGGTAGGGTTTCTCATTGCGTAGATGATGGAAACCATAAGCCACTTGGGCATCCATTCCTGTATGATAAAATGACTAAATATGAACAACGAGAATGTTCACAAATAGAATGACATTTTATTTGTGGCATCTGAAATAGCTATCGCATCAAACCTACAAGTAAAAGCAGTACATTCATAGTTTCTAAGTTTGTTCTGTACCCCAAAAAAACTAGGAAAGGAACAAAAGCAAAATTTCAAGTGTGATGGCATTCTCATTCAAACGACAAATTGCAATCCCAATGGCATCAAGCATCTTGCAAAAATTGCCGAACCAATCCTTGCAAAAAGCAGTAGACTTTAAAGCCAGCTTGACTCCATTCTTAAATTATTCCCAGGATAAATAAATACTAGGCAGACACCAATCAAAGTAATAATCCCTTGGACTGAATTCTCTCTTGTCTGGTAGCTTCACCCTCAGATCACAAAGGTTAATCTTGACTAAAAGTTCAAGGCAAGACCATGATACAAGCATTGTACACATCACAATACCTATACTGAAATAATTGTAGAACACTCCTTCATGATAGTTAACATTCTCAGGCAGTTTTCCCTCAACTTCCAAATCCTGCATACACAAGAAACTTCCTAATTGAAAGAAAATTCTTTTGCTGATATAACATGTATATGGAATTAGAAGAAATTATATTTTATACTACAAAAATTAATTTAATACATAAAGACATTATTACATTGAGGACTTTAAATATGACCCAGTCTTTTCCAATATGCCGACCTATCAATTTTTCAGAGTAATTTGAGCATTTTTAGAGGTGAAAAAAAACATTTGAGACTCACAAGTCAATTTGACAAGAATGTAAGAAAAACTTGTGCCATTTCTTCAACCTAATGCATAAAGTTTCCTTTGGTTATAAAAAAAACTGATAAAGAGCTCAACAATGATGAATTACTAAGGGTTTCACTTTTTAAGTCACATTGAGAATATAGAAAACACTTAAGGAGAAAGGAAAGAACCAAACCAAAATATATCATTTAAAGACTCAATTATGCTAAGCATTGACCCCTCAACCTTCATTTACACTAATACAATGACCAACAAAGACAATTATACATTAGTCAGCCTACTTTTTGTGAGTGATTGATATGTAGTTGTAATAAGAGGGGTAGTTAGGCAATTAGTAGGGTGATTATAATAGGGATATGATAGACCACACCTACAGTGGGAGGCAGTCATGTGTGCAGCTGCTGACTTAGTCTCAAATTATTCTGTCATTTTATTATTTTAATTATTTTCCGTTGCTTTATTCCCCAATATTAGGAACTATCAGATTCTGTTCAAAGTGTCCTAAGATTTAGGAACAGTTATGATTTTATTTTCAATAAATAAATGTTGTTCAGCCTGTTATGCCCGCTAATCCAAAGCTTAAGGTTGCGGGTAGTCATTTTAGGAGTCATTTGTTACTTTGCAGTCTATATATTGGGTCAGACAGCTTGTAGCAGTGACGGATCTAGAAAAACAAATTGGTGGTATATTTAAAATAAATATTAATATTTTTTATAAAATAAATTTAAATATTTATTAATTTTTATTAAGGATAACTCCGCCTATGTTTATAGCCGGTCCCAAGCCCGGGTAAAGGAGGAGGTTGTGTTAGGCCATCAACAGCCAAGTAAAAATTTGTTGAATCTATCATGAACATGGACAATAGACGTTATAATGTTAATGCTAGGTCGTTGCCCGTAAGTAACGCGCTGCATGGCTCGAGTACAGTGATAAGTGAGTTAGAGCCGCTGCATCGGCGCCCGGATGTGTGTTAAATGAGGCAAGGGCTACCGCGTCATTCTGGACGCACGCGGCTAAAGAAGTTAGTCC